AAATCACCCATCACCCCCCCCCCCACCCCACAAATCTACCCTTTAGGTTATAAAAATGAGAAAAAAGCTAGACGATCAAATGCTCTTTTACAGTCCGTAAACTATAGGAAATATAATCCCTGTGCATTTTATAACATGAAAATAAAACGTCGTCTGCATAACAAGATCAATTTCATGTGTTTGAATCAATTCGTCAATATTTAGAATTCTTATAAAAATTTTACCAATCGATATTGGTTGACTTTATCATATTGCGATGACTGGTGCAATGCAGAGAAATAAATATAACAAAAAAAATGAAAGCTTTGAAAACTGTTGTCATTCTGGTATACTGTTAACAACTGATATTTATTAGAATTTTTCAACTCGTAGATTACCCAGGTAGGAAATACGTAAATGTTCTATTCTAGTTTAGTAATGCATTTATTCCTTAATTGTAAGATCGATGAAATAATCTAGAGAAAGTCAATTTCTTTTCTTTGTGAATTTGTTAGTATAATTAAAGAAGCTTAAAAAAGAGGCGTTAGATTGGAATACAAATAGTCGAGTGGAAACTCAAAGTTGCAAAAGCTTTATTTAATAAATGAAGAATTGTCAATCATGAATTTGAACTAAAACTTAGCATTATTATGTGATGGCCGATTAATCAAAGATCGCAACGAATAAAAAGAAGTTTCATTCTCTTTCGGTTCATATCGAACAGTATTATAGACTTGTTATTTTTAGAAATATCTAGTGCTGCTAAACAGCTTATGGTGCTACTAAAAATTTTAATTTAGTGTTTTGATCAGAAATCAATAGTTTTAAGACAATCAATTTAACTAATAGATCTTAAATAAAACAAAATGTTTTATGTAGCTTCTACGCAGTCGGATTATTTTGTTTGAATGAATTTTTCATCTTCAAAAAATATTTATGTTGGAAATTAGTTAATAATTCTCATTTAGTCTCTTCTCTTGACTTCAAATCTAGTTCATCTGATAAAATGCAATTCAAGCGAACAGTGATAAACAGCACAAACATGTGTACACCAAATACGTTGTGCTTTACCGGATAAAAATCATTCGATTTCGATGTATAATGATTTATAGATCGATCTGACTGAAGTGTTTTTAGAAAGCGTAAAAAAATAGTGACATATTATTGAAATAATTATAAATATAAACATCATTTTTATTCATTGAATCAGTATAATTTTAAAAGATGCACATTAAAAAATTAGTTAAAACCTCAATGAAATGTTATTTTTCAATTGATAATTTCAAAACGTTTGCATCAAACATAAGAAAAAACATCAATATGATGGTAGACATTCAAATGAGATCGTACTCCAGTGATGAGATTGGTTCGTATTTTGTTAACTGAACCAAAAAATCTCAAACCGTACCGGTCCCATCTTTGTCACACTCATCCTTTCAAAATTAAGCAAAATTTTCTATTGAAATTCCGATATAAATACTTTTGAATTTTCTTCTAGAAGTAGCGATAATCATGACTATCGAAACTATACTACTATGATTAAATTTTAAACATTCGAAATAACTGCAAAAGCTAAATCTATTTTTTGATAATAATTTGCAGCAGTTGAACCTATGTATTTCAAGCTAGCAAGAACAAATGTGTTCTCTCCTATACCTAAGCACTTTACGAGAGTGCCCACATGACACGACCGGGAATCACTGCGGTATATGAAGCATTATCATCATTCCACTCTGCCTCTTTTTAAGGAAAATAATCGATAGTATTGATGGGTTTTGATAAATCAATACGCTTTGAAGTCAAAAAATCAATAAAAAGATTTAAAATTTTCACTATGTACGCGCCAAGAGAATCAGATAAGCATAAATTCCAATCCGAAACAGTTTTAATATATTTATTTTTGGTTCGAGGTTTGAAGAGATTAGCTGAAATTGAGACATAATTACTAAGATAGGTTGTGGCTGACTTATGCGCAAGCATCTCAATAAAAAAGTTAGATGTTTCAGCTCATTTAAATATTTTTCAACAATTTTTCATAGAGTTTGCACGAAAGACCGATAAAGCTATGAACACGAGACGTATCACAATCTTTGGAAATTCAAAATCGAGAAGGTTGGGTTGAAAATGAAGTCACAGACTGCTTACGAATCGCAAGAAACTGCCATTGAATGTTCTTGCTTTAAAGTAGTACAATTTACTTGCTCATAAAAAGGTTTGAAAAAAATCGGTGAAATTCGATGAAAGTTCTTTTAATATACGGTTTTTTTCTTGTACACTATTCAATCCCACTAGAATTCTAAGGGATTCAAAACCTTTCGAATCGATCAAAATTGGTATTTTTGTGTCTATAAGCAGAGATTTTGGCATACATGTCAGAAGTTCTTATCTAAGATTCTTCACAAGAACTTTTAAAGTTTTGAACAAAATTTCTTTGTATTTTCTTATAAATTTGTACGCTATTCTATACCTGTTCTATCCTGAACCATAGAAAACTCTATCACATGTTGAAAGAATCGCCGTCAACAACAGCAGCACTCATATCTGGTTTATATACATTAATTTTCCACTCATAAACTATTACAACCTAAACAAATCTATGAAATTGAATTTTCGAATTTTGTTTTTTTGGTCTATTTATGCCAATCTAAAGTGACAGGATACACAAATGTTGGTGCAATAAATTCCGCGCATTATGTCTGTTTTTCGGTAGTTGTCGCGCTCTAAAATCAGTAGACGGAAGAATTATACTCCAATAAATCTTAACACTTGAAAATCATTCTCTCTTTTAAGATTTTTACTCCAGCATTCAATTTAGAGTATTAATGCACTAATGTATCGGCTTTTGAATCTTGTGTGATCCTTTGTTATCCTTGTATAAGTAAAATCATTCACCTCTTTTTATACAGGCTGTAGGTGAAATGCCAGGCTACTACAAAAAGTTTAGCTCATTTGCGTACATTAAAACAAAGTTAGCGACGGCTGACTTCAGAACACTGGCATTATGGTGTCGAAATCGTACGCATATATGCTTGTTAAGATAATGTTTCAAGAAATTATGAAATTTTTTCGTACCATATACCACAAAATAGAGCATTAAGACATGAATAATCCACCTATTTCCATTGCTATATATTATATGCTCATTGAGATTTTGAAAGTCAATATGATCGGAAAACATCATCATTTATGAATTTGTGACAAGAAAATTTCAGCAGTATATCTGATGCTACCTTACTAAAACTCGTGGGTTCAAACTAAATTTTTGATATGTTATACAAGTTTAAATTCTTTACAAAATAGCGTAAAAGTATTGAAAAGATAAGTTTACCCTTGAGGTTTTATGAACTCTACATTATCAGTCTTCGTTGGTAATCCGATGATATACAACATATGATTCAATGGAAGGTTCGTGATTTGAAGGTAATTCATTCAGATTTTTCGTTCTCATAAGGCTTTATTATATATCAGTGAGAAATGTATATTAAGATCAATATTTTAATAGTAAACATGTAAGATTATCTGCAAGGCTGCTTAAGTCGCATAGGGTTACAAAATATTTGAAATGTCGGCTTGATCAATCGACCATTCATACACTTGATCACATTTTTTTAAATTATTTGATATCTTTATCAGAATCTGAGTTATGTGACACTTTTGAAATATTACATTGAAGAACTAGGCAGTAGCGAACTTTGATTGAAGCTTCGATCATTATCAAACAAATGTATAGAACTTTTTTCGAGTAGTTGTTTTTCTTGATACACTCTAAAAAAATCCGTTTGTTGGGATTCTTACAGAAAGTTTTTGGGTTTATCACTATATGAAACCCTTTATAGGTTCATGGAAAAGGGTTTCCGAGATCTCGAATACCGTAAAAAAGGTCGTGATCCCGGAAATGTAGCAGCGGGTTCTGAGAGTTTTAAAATCTAGGATAGTTTACCGACTACTACCCTCAAAATGATTTACGAATCTATATCTGACGTCTTATCCTAATTCCATAGTGTATCAACTCATACAAATCCCGAATCTGCATCTACCCTCTCACTTTAAAACCTTAATATATCCCCTTAATCTATTCTATTAATATATGCCCTTATTCTATGTCGATCCTCTCATAATAGTCTTTGTCTAACCCTTTATACCATCTCTTAAATATACCTCCCCCACTCTTATGCTTTAATATACAGTTGTCCCCTGCTTTTAATCCTGTAATATTACAAGTAACATTCATCGATATCGAAAGTCCATTCACTTGGCCCTAGACTGGCAGTGCTGAGCAGGAGATGCATGGACAAGACAGAAAATCGGTTGTTAGTGCCAGAAGCTGGTGATGAAATTTTCGAAAGGACCAGTCGATAAGTTGAATGTAGACCTGTAAAGGGATTAGAATAAGTGAAACTGAGGTAAGTATTAGATGACAATGCAAAATTTTCAAGTAAACGTACTAAATGTGAACACAAAAGACGGACAGAAGGGAGCTTACATGTCCTTCAGGCGGGGAGAGGTTGAGTCTTACCTAGCCATAAAATACACGGTTCAGAAATTGCGTGATGGTTAGCTCAAAGTTCCGTAGAGGGATCGACTCGCCTCATTCCCAGACTCCATCTCCAGGGTGGACTATTTCGCGTGACTCTGCCCTGCATCTAACCTTGATTTGTGTCATTGAGATGGTCATTTGTAGCATCGAGGTGGCTATTTGTACCATAGAAATGGTTATTTTTGCTAATGTTACAGACAGACAGATACTCTGGTAGACAGACACAAGTGAGTTACGGTGTCTAGACCCTATCATTTCAGTCTAGGGAATACTAATCACCTGAAATGAATCCAATCGACTTTGTTCGCTCTCTATGATCTTATTTTTGTTTCTACTCTGTCATTATCATCGTATTATGTTGAGAAAAATTGGCAGACCTTCACAGGTCAGCAAAATCGCAGTTTGTTTTGACCTCGATTATTGTGACATGATCATGTTCTACAGTATTAATAGCCTCCAAAAATGAAACAATATCTTAACTGTTCAAAATTTAAGAATATGGACATGATCCGAAATAGCAAATTTTTTAATGTTTTTTAAGACAAAACAAAAGTGATCAAGAAGATGCCGAAAAAAATTCACTTACGCAATCCTTTCAAATCTAAAATTCATCGTTTAAATGGACTTATACGATCAAAACGATTACCAAATAATCCAGCATTATGTCAAAGTTTTTGTGATCATATGACTTATGATGTAGGTACGTTACCCCCAAAAGTGGATCTCCGTGAAGAAATGACTCCAGTCGAAGATCAATCAACCATTGGCAGTTGGTACGGCATTAGCTATAAGCTGCTTCTCTTTCATGAACGATATTTTTCATGGTTCATTTTAGTGTCGCCAACAGTCTTGCAGGTGACAATCATATAATTTGTAATCGAACAGCATCTATATTCTCTATTACAAAATAGGTACATACGAATATTTAATAAAGAAAGCTACCGGTGAACATATTGACGTTAGTCGTCTATTTATCTACTACAATGCTCGACTCAAAGATAGAGATTTAAAAAGTAGGTAGAGTAAAATATTCATTTTTAGACTTGCTGTGTATTGATTTAATCGAATAAACCTTCAATAAATAATAGATGTACCATCATACATTGAAATACAGCTCTAATTTCGATTAATTTATGAACTTTAGATAATTAAAACAGCATTTCTGAACATAGAATAGGTCGACACGAGGTCATATTTAATAGCTTCTTCGAGGAGCATGATAGACAAAAATCAGTTCATTATTTTTCTAGGCTTACAATCGAAAAATCATAGCACAAGTGTTGAAACGTATTGTAAACAAAGAAAAATTCGATTGGTTTGACTTCTAAACAGAGCGAATTCTGTGCTGTGCAATGTAATCACTATTAGTTTTTCGAAACTATGTCGAACGATTTAAAGTTAGACAGTCCCTCTTTTGCTTTCCCCTACATTGCCATGGATAATATTGATGAAGATTAGTCAAACGTATGAAGTGGAATCAGAGGGGGGGGGGCGAGTATAGACTCCGGTGTACGAGAGTCTCACTTTCTCCCATTGAGTGGAATTCTCTTATGCGTTTCTCTGTTATTATAAATCACTGTTCTGCACTGTGAGGCGAATAATCACCTCGGTCTAAGTCGGATAAGTTATTTCGATTAGATCCTTTAGATGTATCATTATATTTGGCCAGAAATCTACGGTCTCTACCAAAGTCGATGATCGTCACTCTGAGTATGGAAAATAAGTCTCGAAATATGTAGTCTTATTGCTTATAGTGAGATTAAGCGGTCTCGACTTGAAGATATATTTTGTAAAAAAATTAGTAGTGTCGATCGTTCTGGAGCCATTGGAGGCTCAGTAGATACACCATAAAATGGTTTCAAACTATGTTAGAATAACATTTTTTTTATAAAAGATTTAGATTGTGCTAGCTTTTATGATTGAAAATATCTATTGGTGTATATACTTTTAATATGGCATACATTTAATAAAGAAAAAAATCACCGTCTAAGTACATATATTAAAAATGTCTAAATATGACTTGATGATGTCCCTATCTTGAGTGAATTTTTTTCTTTTTTTTTGAAATCTTTATGTTTCTTTTGAATCTAAGGCATACAGTATTTTTCTATTCAAAAGGATTAGCTACCAACTAGGACCTTCTCGCATACTTCATCGTCTATTTTAGTCAACTCGCTGCTCACTTGACGTTATTTGAGTTCATCTACGTATTTTAGATTATCTCTATCAATCAAAAGATTCTTGATTAATAAGATCTTTAGAAACGTTATAGAAGTTTCAAGAAGGAAAGCAGCAATCAGTTCAAACTTCTAAAAAAAAATTTCTTTCTACCCTATTGATACTCTATATAGCTCCCTTACGTATGAAAACTGGAATATTCTGTACCAGCAACACATAAAGTCATATTTTTGAAAATGTTTCAAATATTCGTCAAGCATATATTGTCTGTATTTCCCTGCATAGATGTTTTACGGGCTCGAGCTACAAAAAGAAAGACATTGGTGGATGTAGAAGATTCAGGCTGTACGATAACAAGTGCTATTGAAGCTCTGTCAGAATCAGGAACATGTCTTGAATCACTATGGCCATATGATCATGAACTTGTAAACGTACGTCCTATTGATGAAGCGTACAGCGAAGGTTCCAATCATCTGATCACTGAAGCATTTAAAATTGATGTCGATTTACACCAAATGAGATCATGTTTAGCCCAAGGTTTTCCCTTCGTATTCGGCATAAAGCTGTTTCCGTCTATCAGAAGAGCTGAAGATTTCGGTCATGTGCACATCCCTTCTAAGAGCGACAAAATTAAGGGTGTATTCGGAAGGTAAGGCTATTTTGAATGGTACGTGAACATTGTGTTCTATTCAGCAGGACCGTGTTCATAGTCTATCTTGGGCACAAAAAATCAAGAAATTGGCGAGGACACCTTTTTGTAAAATTCGTTTATATCGCTCATAACAAAAATATTGAGCATAATGTTTAATTCAAAGCTGAGCACTTATCCTTTCTCCATTTCTTGCATACTATTATAGAGCTGAAATGAAAATAACTCAATGAGATTAATAGTATGGTTCAGAAAACTACAGAATATTTCAGAGTTTTTCTTGCAACTGAGATGACTGGAATACATTTTTCAATATTGTAATTGATGGGGTGTGTGGGTGTTTTATTTCTACTGGACTACGACACAGACAGTCACCTGGTGCTATGGATTGAATTAGGGATGTGCCACTCACGAGTTACAAGGCAGTGCGCATCCTCGGCCCCTCACTTTTATAAAATTACAGTTTTACTAGCGAAACTCATACATATTATCCCAAGATAGATACTCCAAAGAAAAAACAATATTCCGCCCCACCACCACTACCCATCCCTTATTCGTGAGAAATTAGACCTGAAACTCTAACTTTCACAAAGTTTTCTTGTACAAAACTAAATTGTTTTTGCAATATATTCCTGTACAAAATGAAAGCAAAGCACACAACAATGTAATTATTTCAATAAATGTATACGTGGTCAAACTAATAATAGCAAATTATGATAATGAAATACAGAAAAAAGAAACATAATGTATGCTCAAATGTGAAAAGAAGAACTTTTACTGACAGTAGATTATCATCGCAAGTAAGCCATAGTCTTATAGAGATTATACACTTTGAACGTTTTGTTTTGTCAGTCTAATGCGGTCGAAGAAGATATATGTACTTCATAATTATTTTTGACTCAATTTGACAGTGATAACAGTATGTTTTCTTTTAGTCATGCTATGTTAGCTGTTGGCTATAGTAATCGTTCTAAAGCATTCATTGTTCGAAATTCATGGGGCGAGGAATGGGTAAATGTATATTTGACATGTTTAGAACATTTTTATTGATTTCTATATTATTTGAAGGGCGATCGAGGCTATTGTTATATTCCAGATGAATATATGACCGATAAAATACTGTGTTATGATGTGTGGACTATTCGCCAATTAGCCAACGATAATTTCAGCAATGACCATTGGGATCAAGAAGATCTGATTGATTATCGAGCTTCAGCTTCATGCCCGGATTCCATCGATGAAGATGAAGACATCCAGGCCATTGAAGAAGTCAACGAAGGTGATGATGATGAAGACACCCAGGTCCCTGAAGAAATGAACGAAGATGATGGTCATGAACAGGAATAGATATAAACCTTCTAATAATCAAAATGACGAGCAACATGGACGTATGCATAAACAACAAACATGGGGTTTTCATAATAAAATGGGTTAATGATTCATAAGCACTAGAAATATCTAGAAGAATCTTACTGAAACTGGGTGTGGGGTGCGGGTATGAGATTGGATCTGGTTGAAAAGGAAACGGTCATAGTCACCGTATGAAAAGGATTGACGCCACTGAATCTGACTGGATATTGCCAAAAAGAACTGTTAAAGTGTATGATTAATTCGAAGTTTCTTTGACCTGGGAGTTCCCACTTCTTTTACGAGAGATATGTTTCGAGATGTAGATTGGGATGTTGGGTGTGGGTGTGAATGTGAATGTCTTAATTTTCTCTCAAGCGACACCCACAACCACACCCTCCGAGAGCGTCTGATTGAAAGTAAAGCTTTGGATTTGATGGAAAATAAGTAAAATCGAATGTTTCCGAATCGAGTACTACCACAATTTGCGGATTATGAATGCCACATTTCAGTTTGATGTCAAGAACACCGCCATCACATTCTGTACATAACCAGATGTTGAAATCAGCTCGAATTTTTGTATAAATACTGACTATTCTAACAGTAACTGTGATAACCTTTGTCGTTAAAGGAAAAATGGATCCCAATGGAAACGATATTTGGTGTGGGTGTGCGTCTTCTTTGGATCAGTCCTCATCCACACCCACACACCCCCGATCGATTGCTGAAAAGCAATGGTTGAGACTAGCAGATTGATTTGTCTTTTCGATATAAGATAGGTCGGTCTGGTTTTCATTGATTTACTTACATCCACACCCACACCCTTAAGGATTAAGAAATAATATGGACTGAAAAAGGGAATCAAAAGGACGGGGGTGGATATGCTAGCAAAAACGGCCCTATTTGGAAACCATAGTGAAACCCCTATTAACTATACATAGTTCGAAAAGAAATTAATACAAAACGACGAATCAATAAAAATTTCTGCGAATCTTCCACTTTTTTTCCTGCGAGCCAGGTGATATCTCTTATACGGCTTATACAAGAGCTATATACGGGATAACTTGACTATATAGTGCACTTAAAAGTTATTATTGATAAACCAATTATATATCACTGAATGCGGCACTAAATGCTGAACGAAACCATAAAAAAAACTTGCTTCAGAAAAGCTTGGAAAACGGGTGCGCATAGGAGCACTAAAACATATCATAGTCTTTTTCACGTAGGATTCTGTTAATAGTCTCCCATGGATCTCAATATTGAAGATAGACACCGAGGTGATTTTTTTCTGTATAGGTGTGTGTTATCGGGTACGAGGAAATTCCGTTAATATTCGAATAATTGCTAGTGAAAAAGTGCTTTGGATAAGTCTAATTGAAAGATAGGCTGAGTATCAAATGTTTATAATGTCTATCGGGTATGTGAGTATCGTTGAAATGTGCTTTGTTTCATGCCGTAAAAATTGAATTCTACTTTTGCTACTTCGGGAGTTCTCATGTGTAATGATAACCTTGTTTTGTGTTCGAGTTTCTTAGTGGCTAAATGTTTTGGTGTGCTCTAAGAAGTGTGATTATTATAGTACAGATTGAAGCAAGTTCCCATTTGAGGAAGAAAAATTTATCATCATATGTAATGTATGTATGAAAAATATGATATCAGACGAAATAGATTAACTGTTCGTGACTTTAAATGAATTTATTGTTTTAGATGTTTTGTATATATGATGATGAAAAATCGTGGTAATCTTTTTCTAAAAGTAGAAAAGGTGTTAGAAAGTTCATTAATATTTTTTGTAGAAATGAAAAAGAACCGGTATATGCTAACACTAGCGTGTAGAGGAATATCTTGCATCGTTATCTTCGTCAGATGAGTCTTCATAGTCGGATATTGAATCACAGTAATGGAGATTTGCGAAGTTGGTTGATGAAGGTTGTTGATTTGTCTCGAGTTGATGACGTTCATAACCAAGAAACCATATTCCAGCTGCGACATGAGAACAGCATCCTACTACTCTTGGACCACTTCGACACGTGCAATACCAAGCCAGTATTTGATTCGGGTCAAATTGAATGTATGTGTAGTATTGACTGGATTTCTTATGTGCTGATTGAAATCGAATTCTTATAATGTCATGTGCGTTTGTATCAGTACAAGATTGTATTGGAAATTCGAGATTTGGGTCTGTTAGATCTATTGAATCTGCATGCTCTTCTGCATAACTTCTGGCTCTCTTCAGCTGGTAGACTCCTAAAATTACAATAGGAAAGATATGCTATAAGCCGTTATGAAGTACCTAGAGTTATCATCCTAAGGTCGACCATCGATAGTTTAGGAAAACTTTGGACCAAGTTATGGATGTCAGTTACATTCCAAATCGAATTTCGTGTTAAATTTTAATCGGTGAGAAATATTTGCAAAGTGTTGTTTTGTGTTCTTAACGAATTCATGCGGCGAATAGTTTCATCATCATTTGGAGATGGAGTTACCATAGAAACATGAAAACAATTGAGTAGTGCTGCTACTATGCAGATGAAGTCTTGTACAGATGGTAGCGAAGAATTCGGTATAACTTGATTAAACCATTTGAAGCGTTTGATGCGAGCATTGACGCTCTCTACAACCCAACGTAGAATAGTTACGAAACGAGAATTATTAGCATCTTGAACATCAGATTGGTTTTGTTTCGGACCAAAAAATGAAGGCATAGCGACATCAATGCCTAATGACTTTAAAACACCTAACGAGTCACGAAAACCTCGATCGAGGATCATAATATCATTCTCTTCGACCCATTGCAATATGTCATCATAATTATTTATCATAATATGTTTTAAGATAGATGCGTCATTATTGCTATTATCAGAAAAAAATGGACCAAAGACAGAGACTATATAGCCGGTAGTTGTGACAGCAACCATCGGCTTGATAAGTGAACGATTTTTGTGTAGATTGAAAGTTTTGCGCTGCATTTGGTTGTTACGACTTTTCTGCTCATGAAAAGAAAATATTGAAGTAGCAAAACAAATATAGAAACTCAATTGTACCTGAATATATAAATAAGTTCCATCAAGGACCAATATACAAGGATTACGATTTTCAGTTAATAGTCGAGTAGCAATTGATGATGTATGTTTCTTAATGATTTCTTCTCGATTTATATGTGCAAGGCCAAGATAATGCGGAACGAAATATTTAATAAGAGCAGCACTAGTACTATGTATGATATCAGTCACTTTGCGTTTGTTGTCAATGCCCAGCATCGAAGCAAGTACGGAATTGCTCACACCAAGCCTTCATTTCATAAGTAAGCATGCGATGGCACAGCGAGGAGATCGATTGATAGAGGTTTTTAGAGCACTTGCGGGAATATATGAGAGAACATGATCATGCTGTGTTCGCGTAAAGCCAGTGAGGTTTTTGTATTGGATGTCTGATAACGATAAAGGATCATCGGAATCTACATTTTTATTACTATTGACCATTTTTCGCAGTTTTTGCATAGTGTTCACAATATAATTAAGATTGAATATTCTATAATCGTCTTTGTAAGCAGTCAATTTGAAGAAGTCTTCACGTAATAAATATCCATTTGAAGTATGAATTTTACAGCAGCGTGATCCTTTCGGGAAAAAGATATTTCGACGAATAAAGATATTGCTTCGATCTTCCTTTTTAATAGTGACTGTTGGTGGAACCATTTTAATTCTAGACACACAACATTGGCTAGAACATAGGATTGCGTGAAGTCAACGATGAAATTGTTTTTTTACCTTTTTGACGAAATGCTTATGCCAGTAGGTAATTTCAAACCATCTTTCGAAGTAAAACTTGATTTATCAGTAACCGATGCATTATCCTATGATAGCGAAGATAGTTCATATTTACAGCACAGAAATATCGATCATCTTACATATACGTCATTACAATCCATCTCTGAATCACTTGGGTTACTTCCATTAGACTCTTCATCATCAATTATTTCATTATCCTACCAAATTGAAAAAGGTGTCTTATATATATACAGTAATATTTATTGTAATCTCACATATTTATGATTTGACTTAGCCTTTGAATCATTCGAGCTATTTTCGTCGGATTCTTCATCATTGATCATTTCATCGTCCTAAAAAATTTAAAAACTCCTTGGTGGGTGTATGACAACATATCCAAGCCTCTTACACTGTTATCATTAGAGTCAGTCCCTACATCACCTGAAGTATTTTCATTTGAACTTTCATCCTTTTCTTCAGTCATTCCATCATCATCTTGACTCAACATATCAATTTGCAATAATATTTGGTTTAAACCTAAATTTGCCTCCCACTTGTTGTACATCCAA